GGGTCGCAACTGTCTCACTTAAATTTTATCATTATTCGAAAAATCAAGACATGTATCGGGGGCTCAAATGTACGAAGGCGCATCTGTCCCGACACCAAGTTAATACCCAGTGTTTTAAATGAGATATTACAATAAATAAAATCACTGTATAAAATTTTAATTAAAAAGTAATTATCTCATAAAAATTCGAAGAATTTTTCCGATACAATGTAATTATCTGTAATAAACAACTGTTAATGATGGATTCCCAAATATACACAGAATAATAAATTTTATTAGAATGAACGTTTCCAAGCAACTTAACATTTCATTTAAATTTAAACAATCTAATTACATATACAAACGTGTCTGACATAAGATGAGAATACCGATAATAATGAAATTAAGATAATTATTTACGAATGAAGAATAAGTACAAAATCAAGGTGAAACTAGTGATCTCATAGTTATTCCCTGGTATTAAACACGAAGAAAAATAATTGTTTTTATCTGTTTCAGTCGGATATTTGGTACATTTTATTTATCTTATTAATAATGAATCCCTTTTTATTTGCAAAAACAACAAACCTTAAAAAATTACTTTATTTTTCGCTCAACAACAAAAAATAATAAATATTGTTTTAAACAAGGTAATTAAATTTTGATCAGCTCAATTTATTTACGAGTATTATACAGATTTATAAGAAAATATTGTTTCCAGTTTAATTACGAATTAATTTTGATATGTAAATGTATGCATATGCATATTAATATTATATTTTATATTTATGCTATTTTAATTTTGATACTGGAGGAAGCCATGTCTGAGTTGGAGTAATTTTACTGGTGAACAGAAGAAATGTATTTTTTTTAATTGTAGACTTGGTTTATTCCATTGTAATATTCTACTTGCTTTGTTTCTCTAGTGGAAAGAGAATATGATGCGCCAGATGATAAAAAGAATAGATAGAATAAAATAGTAGTTTATGCAACAAGAGTGGATATGATGGCCCTATAGCACGACGCCGTTGGCATAGACTATTTAGCATTCACAATGCATATTTAAAACAATGGGCGTGTTTAGTGTAAACGAATTTAACGAATCTAATACTATGACGTGTTTAAGCACAAAAAACTTTTTTTTTATGCAATAAATTCTTTAAATAGATAATAAATAATAAAGTTATAGTACTTTATCAATTATTATTTATTATTAATCAATTATTTAAAACGCTCCATTTTTGCGCCATTAACCGCGTCATAATGAAGCGCCTATTTCTATTGGTCACTAAAGAATCTGTGATACCGTAGAACTAGACAGTTGATTGTTTTCTTTTTCTAATAGTGACATTTATGATAGTTATCTCTTTCTAAAATCGGATTAAAATGACAAAAATGTCTAAATTTCTAACCTCAAATCGATTGTTGGAAACAGAATATTGAAATTGCTTTTCAAAAGTGTGATAAAATAAACATTTGTTTAATTTTGTGTAACATTAAAAATATCTGGTTAAGTATTTGGTCCCTATTAGAAATAAAAAAAAAAAACAGTCAATCTGATAAAATGTTTAAAAAAGTTCCTCAAAATCTAGACCTAGACTTTCAAAAACGATAGTGGGATAAGGGCTGTTGCAAACTACAAACCACCACCGTGCTTTTGTATTTTGATGTAGGTAAAGATAATCTTGTATTGTTTTTATTTCCAATGTGATATAAATTGATAAAACTTACCTAGTTCACCTAGTTGATCAACTAGTAGGTCAATATAGGTGTACCTACCTTTTTACTTAACACTGATTCTGAGGGTACTACCTAATTAGTTTGTATTATTTTTTAGGTGGAAGCAGATGCAGAAAACTTGATTCATTTCAAAATTATGGGTAAAAATTTGACAATAAAACAAGATGTGCTTCATAAATATACCATCTAAAAGGTTCTTTAACTGACCCTGCCAAAAAAGATTGAAAATTTGAATTGTATTGTCATTCCATATATAAATGTTATTAATTACTTAAATGATTATAATAAAGCTTGCCTGTTATTTATTGTATTCTTTTTAAACAGGAATGTATAAATAAGTTACCTACAATATGTACAAAAACTTATTTTTTTGAATTTTAAAAAATTCTTGTAGGAAAATTTGAAAAGAGGAAAATTTCAAAAAAATATTTTTAGATTATATTTTGTGCTAGCTTTTAGACAAAAATATTTTTGAATTTCATTAAACACTCCCATTGCAGAACCCAAATACAAACATTAATTAAAACACAATTACATTAGAAGTGAAAACATTTTTTTCTGATGTCATCGCGTGGGGCATCGAAAAGAAGCTCATTGAAGCACAATTTAAAAAATATACAGGGTGTCTGTAAAAGGTCTTTACAAAAACATACCACATATTCCTTAGACCAAAATAAGTCGATTTAAGTAAAATTACCTTAGTACAAAGTTGCTTCGTTTGGGCTCCAGGGGGCCTTGAAGTTACAATTTTTAAATCGTTTTTCCCATATAAATTTAAAACGGCATATGCGATTTTACTGAAATTTGGTATATTGGTAGAGTTTTATGTGGCAAAAAAATGGTATTAAAATTTTGTCCGATAATAATACATAGGCGTAGAACTTGATTTTTTAAATAATTGCCCCTTTAAAAATTCTACGACAATGGAAGAAAAGGAGTTCGAGTATGAAATTTAGATTGCGCAACTCATTTAATTTAAAAAAGATACTCTTGATAAGACTCGATTACTTTCATGGTTTTGACGAAATTTGCATTTTAGCAATTTTAGAACATAAACAATAATTATTAAAATACAAACTTTGTCAAAACCATGAGAGTAAATCGAGTGTTATCAACGGTACTTTTTTGTAATAAATGAGTACCTTATCCAAATTTCATACTCAAACCTCTTTTTTGCCATTGGCGTAGAATTTTTAAAGGTGCAATTATTTAAAAAATCAAGTTCTACGCCTATGTATTATTATCGAACAAAATTTTATACGAAGAAAAACATAAAAATGTAATTTTTTCATATCTTCTTCAACACCTCTAATCGAGACTTTTAACAAAAATACTCGAAATACTCGATTCTTGCCATGTACGATTTTTTGAGGAATATTAATTATTTGCCTGCAATATGTATACCAAAACATTTATTGTTGGTTTCCATAGTTTCATCTAAATAAAAATATTGTCAAGTTTTAACACCTAATCTCTTGTTAACGATTGAAAGTGTTCTATCTGACTCAATTATTAAAAAACAAATGCGTGGTTTATTAATATGGCTGTACAATATACCAATGCAGAATATAGGGGTATGTTACTGACATTAGGATTTTGTGAAGGAAATGCTCGAGAGAGTGTCAGGGTGTACTCTGAAAGGTTTCCAAATCGTCGTGTACCTAGCCACCCAACTTTTGCTGCTGTTGAGAGACGTCTTCGGGAGACCGGTTCCTTTGCTCCCAATACTGTTGATAATGGAAGAGAACGTTTTGTAAGGATTCCTGAAATTGAAGAAGACATTTTAGAACGTATTGAAGAAGATCCAGAATTAAGCACCAGACGAATTGGAAGGGAACTAGGAGTAAGTAAAGATGTTGTTCATAAAGTGCTTAGAGAACAATTGCTATATCCATACCATAAGAAGCCAGTACAAGAATTATTAGTCTATGATCCTCAAATTCGTTTGGGTTTTTGTCGATTTGTTAATATACAAAGAGAAAGAGATCCAAACTTTGTCAAGAAGGTTCTCTTTACCGATGAAGCGGGTTTTACAAGAAGAGGTATAACTAATACCCATAATAAACATGTTTATGCCGTTGAAAATCCGCATGCAATAAAGGTAAACCATTTTCAGCACGAATTCAAAATTAATGTGTAGGCTGGAATAATTGGTAATTTCATTGTTGGTCCTGTCATACTTCCACAAAGATTAACTGGAGAAAATTATTTTGATTTTCTACAAAATACATTGCCAGAATTGTTAGAAGATTTACCTCTCTAAATTCGGAAAAATATGTGGTTTATGCAAGATGGAGCTCCACCACATTTTTCTTTAAACGTTAGAAACCATTTGAATGAACAATATCCACACAAATGGATAGGCAGAGGTAATGACGCACCTGTAAACTGGATACCACGTTCCCCAGACCTAACACCGATGGATTACTTTTTATGGGGACATCTGAAATCCACAGTTTACAGGAAACCTGTAGAAAATGGGGAACAACTCTGGCAACGTATTCAAGATGCAATAAACAATCTTAGAGGTGATGAAGAAGTTATGGAAAGGATACATTTTAATTTTCTTCGACGTATAAATCTTTGTATGCGTGAAAATGGTGAACATTGTGAACAATTTTTGTAAAATCTCTATTTTGATTATGTTGTAAATAAATATTTTTGTGAAACCTATACACTCTAAATTATTAAAACAGAAATTTAGCGAAAACCATGAGAGCAATCGAGTCTTATCAGGAGTACCTTTTTTAAAGTAAATGAGTTGCGCAATCTAAATTTCATACTCAAACTCCTTTTCTTCCATTAGCGTAGAATTTTTGAAGGTGCAATTATTAAAAAAATCAAGTTCTACGCCTATGTATTATTATCGGACAAAATTTTAATACCATTTTTCTAAGGAATATGTGGTATGTTTTTGTATAGACCTTTTACAGACACCCTGTATAATATGTTAGTTTGCGTTATTTTATTATTATGAACGAATATGACAAAGTTTGAATGGTGTAATTTAAAAACTGTTTTGTATACTATTCAAAAGCAAATAATGTAAAAATACGTTTTTACCAATTTAAAGGTTGATTTATTAAAATATTCGATTGAAATGGTTCAAAAACTGCGTATTGTTGAAGATCGTGGACCTTTACATATAATTTAAAATACAAAATTTTTTGTGTATAAAACTATTAATTATATTCTATTGTCTCGCTTAGATTTTTGGGTACCGAGAAAAAAAAACATTTATTTTGTTATTGCAATCAAGCGATATACAGTTAACAACAAACATTATTTATTCAATATTTACGACTTTGGTTTCTGGTTTTTCTATGAAAATCGCAATTATAAATTATCACTATGAAACCAGGATGCAAATTTAAATTTTAATCAATCTTCTTTTTTATCTGACGTTTACAATTTACACAAATAAGATATTCGTGACCACGCCGCAAGACTATATATATAAAAACAATGAATCCTTTGATTTAATCGCATTTCGTAATATGAAGTGGTTCGTTCTATTTTGTGCTGTCATTTGCAGCACCTGTGGGGCACAAAAAACTAATAAAGACAATACAATATCTAAAAGTGATAATAGTGATGTAGTGTATTTAATAGAAGATATTGGAAATTCTTTTGGAGATATTGATGGTAAAAACAGACATGTGCCTAGTTACAAACTGAAAAATCCTATTCCTTTTGATGAAGCAGGTGATGGGATTTATTTTAGACCTGATGATAGAAAACCATTAGACAAACCTCAGGTTAGTATCTTTCCTTTCCCACCAGTATGAATCATATACCGATTACTGTCAGGGAACAAACTAGATCTAATATGAATTGAATATTTTTACATTCAACTATCTGATACGCAAAGGCGTACCTAATTTTATATTCCAAACATCGTAAGGTTTTTTTTTAATGGATTTTACAAAGTAAGGAGAAAATGATAATAAGAACCAAATTAATTTTAACTAAAATGAATTTGACTGCCCCAATACATATTAATACATTTTATATACATTTTAAAAGTTGCAGAACGTTATTATAGATTTTTTAGAAAGAAAAAGGAATTGAAAAAGAGAATTTGTAGTGATACGAACCAAATATCAGAAGAGTTTAATAATTTCTTTGTAAATGTAGGTGAATGTTTCGGAAAAGTAAACAAGAGTTTTTTTCCATAATAATAAGAAATATTTATTTCAGAAATAACAAAAGAAACAAAAACTCTTATGCTACATAATACTTTAGTACATACTTTTACTAGAAATAAAATATTTCTGACTTCTACATAATAAGTGCCAAATAAATTTGTACACACATGAATAAGATGATACCATCTATCACATAAGTCATAAGCAATATTTTTTATGTGATAATGTAAAACATTAACAGGTTGCTTCATTTGATTTTGTTCAAAATCATCTTTTATTTTTTGATCTCTTTTCGTTTTCTTTTTCTTTACAGTTCATCAAATTTCTAGAGGCTTTCGACGGCTAGACAGAGAAAGCACTACTGACAGGCATCCCGACGGATTTACGCAATGAAAGTACACTCTGCGCATCAAGTATTACACTATTTCATTCAGACGTAAATGTCAGATGTAAATTTCGCTAAAACATTTCTTTTATTTTCGTTTGTGTTTTTTGCTCATTACAGTTTAATAGAACCTAAGTATGGAGTTTAATAGCAAATTAAGAGGCCGCGTGATTAACAGTCAATCTCGCGAAATAATAGCCAATGTTATAGAGTTTATGAGAAGAGAAGGAAACTTTAATTCACCTTCAATACCATTTAAAAATGTAAATGATCGTGTTGCTGCAGCCACAGGAGTATCTAAAAACACTGTCGTCCGCATTTCTGGAGAGAAAAAAAGAATCGATAACCGTGAGATATCGGAATTTTCATCACCAAGAAAAACCATTAAAAAACCAAAAACAGTTAATGATATAGATGAAGCTACACAAGAATCAAATTTTATTTTTTTATTATTAGATAGCTATTTTTGTTTCTGAGTTGTGTTCATTTACAGGCTCAATTTTTTTCCGTTTCTCCTTTTTGATTTTATATGGGGTTTCAAGTTGTTTTTGACTTATTTCGACGTAAATCACAACAACACACTTTTTTAATAAAGCAAACAAGTGTTAAGAGGTATATGTACGTGTAAACTACAATTACAAAAAATTGATATGAAACCCATGAAACCACCAACAAAAATGTAAAGCTAGCTTCCGTACTAGAACATGGTGTCATTCGTCGAGATAATTTATCGTTTTGTTTAATAGATCAAGAAATGTAAATATTCCTCTGTTATTTTTTATAAAATTATAAGAGAAATAAATTTTTTTCTAAATAGTATAGTTTATTATTTTGTAGAAAAACAAAATTTCGAAAATTTTAGTAATGTTTCAGAAACAACCGTTATTAATAATAGGTACCATTTTCCTTAATAAGGTAGAAATAAAATATAAACTATTTCCACGATTTACAAAGGCCTACAAAAAAATTATAGGTATTTTCCGCTATCCTATAAAATTTATATTTTCTGACTCAATTTCAAAAGGTTGAAGGAATTCCAAAACACCTTTTATGGCATAATAATTATTTTCAATTCTACATACTATCTTTAGCTGCTTTTAAAAACGTTCTAAGAAAGTCCAGTCAGACCAATTTAATCCCTAAACTATTCCACACTTTTTAAATTTAATTACCTAAAAATATTAAAAACTATTTAAAATAACTTGTTTAGCAGAATGTACAATAGCTATCTTAGTCACACGTAGCACGTTCTCTGTCTGGGCGTCGAACACCTCTAGAAATTTGATGAACTGTACTTTTGTATTTTTATTCTGATTCTAAAATTTAAGTTCTTTTTCTTTCAGTCTCTAGATATTTTCTATATGCAGCAGAAGATGGTAAAAAATCTGAACCTGCTGGTCGTCTTTTTATTCAACAAGCAAGGACCAGAACAAATTGTTCTTGAAGCTTTTTGAATTTTTGAACCAGTCTGTCTTTCCTTAAGCTGTCATTCTGGTTCTTATTTTGGAGTTTTGGTGCTTTTTCCGGTTTTCATCTATATATCACATACTGTAATTTCTTTATTGGGTACATTACAGTCAGTCTTGGGGTTATTCAAATTTGACACACTTTCGAGTTGAACATCGTCTTGGTGGTTTTGTAACTGCTTTTGTTTTTCATCAATATCAGATGCTACAATTTCTTTACTTGTAGCATCTTTATTTTATAAATCAGAGCCCATTCAAAATAATATAATCCAAATATCACACAAACATCAAAATTTAAAAAGTCCTCGACTACAAACCAAATTACAACTTTTACATTTTAGAATTTGCATAACTTGTTTTTGCACCAAACATTTTAAAATACAAATAAACCTTGGGCAGTGGTAAAAGAGAACAAGTGTTGAGAAAATTACCGACTTGTTTCTAAACTACGAAAATGCATCACTCGGTTTTCTCTACAGTATACTGTATAAATGCCTTGATATTTATTTTACATATAAATTCATCTAAGACATAATGTATTTATTTCATAATAAAACATGTCTACCATAGTTCTGGAGTTATATTTTTAGATATCCTGGTGTAAGACTCACTCATGACTGATACTTCAGAAAGTACTAGACATGAAATAAGTAAATAATGTATTATAATTAATTTCATCAGCTTCTGACCTTAAATCTTTTTATAAATTTACATTAAGTATTATTATATTTGCAGAATAAAGCAGCATTTTTGTATTGATTCAATAAATATTTGCAAATCACTCTGAATGTAGAAGTCGTTTTAAGTTCCATTAATAACTAATTAATAATTATTATTGTTTTTCATAATAAAATCTTTAGTTGTAATAATTTATAGAATTTAATTCTTTTGTACGGGTTTTTTCTTATATGTATACTTTCTCCCGAAAAGCTTTGCATGGTATAGGTCACCATTGGAGTTTCTACAGCGAAAGAGCTAAATGCAGGCCTGTGCTATTAGTGTTTCTACTACCTTTCCCAGTTAGTCTCTGGCTAGCATTTTTGCCATTTTGGTACTTTCTGCATGCCTCTTTTCCTTTTATTCTAAAGGCATGTTGTCCTTTTGTCTTGTTTCGTCTCAATCTTGCAAAATATGAAATAAAGTACAACCTTCTGACAGTTTCTGTCATTCCAAAAGGAAACAAAAACCTAAGAAGCCTTGGATATAGCTTTTTACCTATTTTTTACAAATCCTTCTATTCTGACCTGGTTGTTTTCTTGCACCTACTCTTCTTAAGATCGTCTTCTTTTTATCCCAAATCTTCTCTGATTTCTTGAACCAGCCAATGCCTCGATAGTCTGCAAAACTGCACTTAAATTTGGCAACGTGCTTTTTAACATTTTTTACTTTTATATATCTATTCTAAAAATGTTTCTTCTTGTCTTTTTTTCTTCGTCCTTTCAGGCATCGTTCTGTTCTCTCCTGAGAAGTTTTGACAGGCTACCTTAATCAGGTTTTAATCCAGCCACTGGCTCCCTTCAATCAGGCTTTTGTTCCAGTCTACCTTTCAAGCCTCAGGGGTTCACATGATGGCACTGCAACATCAGTGGCTTACTGTACTACCATTTTGATTTTCTACGCCTTCCTTATTATTCATTTCATGCATTTTACCCATATGTTCCATCATGTAAATGTACCCCAAGCTCAGCGAGTCCGGTCACCCATTCAGACCGTGGCCTCTGGAGTGCTGTTCCTGTAATCGGTATTTTGTCTTACTACAAATTAAACTAATCACTTATCAGTAGTCTAACTAATACGAATGAATGTCTGCGATCAAATTTTGTAGTTTTGTAAATATTTCATTTTAAATTTTCAGCAATTGGTTGTATCTCCACACAGCAATCGCCAAAGGCGTAGCCTTTTCCATAAAAAAGGAAGTTTGCTAGACGGTCTATTAGGAGGAGGAATTGGAGGAGGCAGCGGCTACGGTTTTGGCGGAGGTTACGGAGGAGGAGGTTACGGAGGTGGTGGAGGCGGAGGTGGAGGATATGGAGGTGGATATGGAGGCGGCGGTGGATTTGGAGGAGGAAAAGGTGGCGGAGGAGGATTTGGCGGAGGAAAAGGTGGATTAGGTGGAAACGATGGAGGATTTGGAGGCGGCGATGGAGGATTTGGAGGCGGTAAGAATATAATATTTTATTTAACAACGACCAAGCAAAGTCTGGAATGCAATGTTTTTCTCTCACAATCATGGTATACTGTAGGTTTTATCTTCATGGATGTAAAATTATTTAGTCTGACTCACCCTATATACATGCTTATAATTATTTTATCGCCAAAATCAATATTAACCCATGCCAATTAATACAATATAAACGAAATTAGTTCTTTTTCTCTAACAATTTTTAATTTTCTAACGTTTTCCTTCATTGCTTATACATAACACTTCTCTAGTTTCAGGTTGTTCCTATAAACACAATCCATTCTTGAATGATGGTTGTAACGGCATTGGAGGGGCTGGCTTTGAAGGGGGTGGAGGAGGTATATTGCTTTTCTAAGCTCTAAGCCAACCAAAGTTTGCTTTTTCTATTGCAACAAACAAACAAACAAACTCTTATTTAATCGGGGCTATTTTTTTATTCATAAATTTATACTTCATTTTTTCAAGCAGACACACGTACTTACTTTTTTCTGTTATCTTTTATTAACTGGGTCAAAAATTAAAAAAAAAAGTATAAACTTTTCTGTATAATATTGTATTTCAAAAATTTTTCTAAAATCCTTATTTGTTTCTTGTATAGGTGGTCATGGAGGTGGCCTAGGAGGAGGAGGTGGTTTCGGAGGAGGTAAAGGAGGTGGAGGCGGTTTAGGAGGAGGCGGTCATGGTGGCCACGGAGGAGGAGGATTTGGAGATGGTGGTCATGGAGGTGGTAGCTCTGGGGGCGGAGGTTTTGGTGGCGGAGGAGCCGGAGGCGGTGGATTTGGAGATGGTGGCTCTGGAGGTGGCGGATTTGGACATGGGGGCAGTAAGTAAACTTAAATATAGGCTAAATTATGTGTATTAATCCAATTACCTTTATTTCTAGAAGGCGGTAAAGGAGGCGGATTTGGTGGGGGCGGTGGACTTGGTGGTGGCGGTGGATTTGGAGGAGGCAGCTCCAGTGGACACGGAGGTGGAGGATTTAATGATGATTCTTATGACCACCAAACAGGAGGACACGGAGGCGGAGGTGGACTTGGGGGCGGTGGAGGCCTTGGAGGAGGTCACGGAGGAGGCGGTGGACTTGGAAATGGTGGAGGCGGAGGCCTTGGAGGAGGTCACGGAGGTGGCGGTGGACTTGGAGGTGGTGGAGGCGGAGGCCTTGGAGGTGGTTACGGAGGTGGTGGCGCCGGAGGTTACGGAGGAAGTAGTGGAGGCGGATATGGAGGTGGCAGCCATGGAGGAGGCGGACCCAGTGGTGGTGGTTACGGAGGTCATGGAGGCGGTGGAGGTAAGATTTTATACTTAAATAAAATTAAGATATTAGAGGTGGAGAAAAAGAACTAATGAACTTAAAAAGTATATTAATTCCTCTTTTTCATGATTATTTAGTTAATTAAACCAAATGACAATGTCCAAACAGAAATAATTGCTTTGTTAATAAATTTAAAGTAACAATCACCTTCTTATATCCAGTACGTTTAAATAAATCGTGTGCAATTAGGCTTAAAAATTTCACAGGCAAAAATACGAGAGATGGTTTTGCAAGTGGAGATGTACACATTGGAAAGGGAGGAAAAGGTGAAGGAGGTGCAGAGAGTGTAGGCGGTTCAGGTCATACTGGCACAGGAATAGTTGAGGGTGGCAAAAACAAAGGCAGTGGAGATGGTTTCGGAGATAGCACTAGTAGGGGATTCGCCACTGGAAATGTAGAAATTGAACGAGGAGAAAAAGGTAATGCAGGAGGACATTCAGGAGGTGCAGGAGTCGCCCATGGAGGAGGAATAGGAAGTGGGAGTGGAGCAGGATATGAAGGTGAAAGCGGTTTAGGCAATGGTGGTGGAAAAGGAAATGAAGGAGGATATTCAGGAGGCGGAGGAGCCGGACATGGAGGAGGAAAAGGATCTGGAGCGGGATATGGTGGCGGAAGTGGTTCAGGTTTAGGGGGTGGTAATCACCAAATTGGCAATAACGGTGATGGATTTGCTACTGGAAGCATAGAAATCGAAGGTGTAGGAAGAGGTAACGGAGGTGGAGAAGCCGCACATGGTGGAGGAAAAGGAGCTGGAGCTGGATCAGGATATGGTGGCGGAGGTGGTTCAGGTTTAGATGGTGGAACTGGAAAAAATGGAAATAAAGATGGATTTTCCACAGGACTTATCGAAATTGAAGGAGGAGGCAAAGGCAATGTTGGTGGATATTCAGGTGGTGGTGGTGGTGGTGGAACTTCCTATGGAGGAGGAAAAGGAGTTGGATCAGGATATGGCGGCGGAAGTGGTTCAAGTTTAGGCAGTGGAAGTGGAAAAAATGGAAATAATGATGGATTTGCCACAGGACTTATTGAAATTGAAGGAGGAGGTAAAGGCAATGGAGGGGGATATTCAGGCGGTGGTGCAACTTCTTATGGAGGAGGTAAAGGAGGTGGTAGTAGTTCAGGATATGGAACTGGATCTACAGGAGGTGATGCTGGAAGGATAGTATTTGATGACGATGAAATAGGTATTGGAAAAGGAAACGGTGGTGGTTTCGGAGGGGGATTCAGTTTCAGTAGCGGAGGAGGTGCAAGTTCAGCAGGGAACTATGGAGTAGATAAAAGTTCAGATATAGAAAATGGAAGTGGTGGAAATGTAGGACATGGATCTGGAGGCAGTTCTGGTAAAAGTCAACATGGGGCAACTAAAGGTGGTTCTAGAGGTAAGATACTATTTTGAAAATGTACCTTGATATTCTTATTTATATTTTGCAGCTATCTTTTCTCCACCTCTATAATTTTCTTTTTATTTAATATTTATTCCTTTCATATTTATTTCTTTTTAATTTTTATTTCTAATGTATCCTTCTTTCTATTAGTCGGATTTATTTATTTATTTATTTATTTATTTGGTTCGCTTTGATTGTAAACACAATATTTAAAAACAGGATAGTAGATATATCTGTTAATTGCTTGTTACAGACGGTGGATATGGTGGAGGTGGTTGTGGAGGAGGTTGTGGAGGTGGGAAAGGCGGCGGATTCTCACACGCATCTGCAACTGCGACTGCTGGCTCTTAGTAAGTCTTTTTCAATAATTTTCTAATATTCCTAAATTTTTTGATTTATTTTCTAAGATTTTCAAAGCAGCGTGAGGAATAAATGATTATTTTTCGATTTGCTATCATCTTAATTGCCAAAATGTTAAACATATCAAATTGTGCCATATTTTATTTTACCAATCTGAAATAACTTGTTAAAATTGTTTATTTATTTTATATTTATTACTTTTGTAAATTATGTATATTTAATGGTTTATTTTTTTGCAGCGGAAAGAAGTAAGAAAAAGCCTAGGATATCCTTCACTTGTTTTTAATATATGATAAGAAAAATACCAATTGTAAATAAAAATAATTTTGTATAAACATTGTTTTTTTTCATCACCTAAATATTACTTTAAAAAATAATAATCTTTTTACAATTCGCCATTTAACATTTGAACTCCTGAAGCAAAGCTTCTGCAGGAGGATGACTACTTTTGTTATTATTTGCAACCCGGATTTAAATCTGGATGTCATATCAACTCTTTAAAATAGTAACAAAGTCTGCACAAAACACACACTAACGAAGAAATGTGAATTATAAATTAATATAAGAATATATAATGTGTTAACTTTTCCACAATGACGCCAAAAGAACGGTATAGAATAAGCGATGCTATTGACTAGACAGGTAGAACAGTACGTGCCAGCCCACTAGTGGAAGAGGTGTATCCATCTGTCCAATCACGGAAGATAGGCAGCCGATTTACGAGTATTTCTTTTTATTTTCTCATTAACTAAATGTATATTAAATAGCATTTGAATAAAAATTACAAGCGATATTTATAATATGTATTTTAAGCCTTCATGAAGATGTAAAATAAACGACGAAACGTCGGAAAATAAAGAAGTTAATATCCTTATCCCGGTAATAACATTCTTATAATTACGTCTATATTTGAAGTAACAAACTCTTACGCAATATAGTTATTTATACAAGGTCTTTTACAAAAAATTACTGCTTAAAAAATAACTATTTTGAAAATTTGCTCATTAAATCATCTTGTGAAGATGGAAACGTAAAAAATATGAATAAAGATTATAAGCAATCTCAAATGATTACTAATTATTATTATTATTATTAATATATGATATTACGTTGAATGCAAATTATCAAGTAATTTTGATTAGTATGTAAAGTAAAAATTATAAATTATCTAATCACCTTTCAAAACGATTTCCTGACAATAAATAATTTTTATGGTTGGTTTTTTGTAATATACTTAAAACTATTATTTCCATTATAAAAAATACAAAAGAAATACTTTATATAATTATTGCAAATGGTTACTTCGTGAGAATTATTTTTAGATATGATTAGTTTTGACTTGAAAAACCTATTTTTTACATTAGAGGCTCTAGTAAGTACAAGGATATCAATTAAATTTCCTGCAGGCAAACTTTATATTTGTTTATGTTGATTTTCTATAATTCTGAGTTAATACTTCGTTTATCATTCTTTTAAATACCTAATTTCTGATATCTGACTATAAATAATTACATCTACTAAACTATTAAAATATGTATTATAAATCAAGTGGAAGACCTAAAGAAATATGCACAAACCGATAAGAATGACGAAGCAAAGTTTAACGAACAAAAACAGAAGATAGTTGGCAAAAAAGATAAAGAAATATCTTTAAAATTAAATAAAGAGATACTATATAAAATAATTTGAAACCGTTTGCGGTTTATACTAGCATGGTAACCAATGATTTGCTAACTTAAAGCTACTTGGGGTATTTTTGTTTGGACTATTTTTAAAACTATTTTATAAGCATTTTTTTTTTTTGTGAATACTACGAGTACATATTCAGCTTATTTAAGTTATTGTATACAAAAATATTACCCATTTATGAATTTGTTCTGCCTACATCTTATGAAGGTGACATCGAAACAAATCAAGGATGAAATCCCACAAAGTGAAATGAGGACTCACTGTGTGAGGTATAAATGTATTATTATTATTATTAAAACTATAACTTCTCCACCTATTCCAAGTAATAAAAGAGTAGGCAGAGTAGTATTTGCAGATACTCCAAGACGCTTTTTTTATATAGAGTATGTTAAAAAGTAAACATCATTGTCCATAGTATAGGGTATTTCTAACATCGATTTAAAATTAATTGTAATTTTAATTTAAGGGAGAGACACAAAAAACGAGATAAAATTTGGAAAAATACCCATTATGTAAAAACCAATAGGGATAGAAAATTAAAACTGGACCTATCAAAAAGAAAATATCATTGTCTATAATAAAGGGTATTTCTAACATTGATTTAATATTAATTTTAATTTAAGGGAGAGACAAAAAAACGAGTTAAAATTTGGAAAAATACCCATTATGTAAAAACCAATAGGGATAGAAAATTAAAACTAGACCTATCAAAAAGAAAACATTAATTTCTATAGTAAGGGGTATTTCTAATATCGATTTAAAATTATTTGTAATTTTAATTTAAGGGAGGGACACAAAAAGCGAAATTTTTTAAGTCTCTCCCTTAAATTAAAATTACAATTAATTTTAAATCAATGTTAGAAATAACATATACTATAGAAAATGATGTTTTCTTTTTGACAGGTCTAGTTTTAATTTTGTATCCCTAGTGGTTTTTACATAATGGATATTTTCCCAAATTTTTACACAAAAAAATAGAGATAAAATTTGGAAAAATTCCCATTATGTAAAAACCAATAGTGATAGAAAATTGAAACTGGATCTGTCAAAAAGAAAACTTCATTGTCTATAATATAGGGTATTTCTAACATTGATTTAAAATTAATTTTAATTTTAATTTAAGGGAGTGACACAAAAAACGAGATAAAATTTGGAAAAATACCCATTATGTAAAAACCAATAGGGATAGAAAATTAAAACTAGACCTGTCAAGAAGAAAACGTCTTTGTCTATAGTATAGGATATTTCTAACTTCGATTTAAAATTAAGTTTGATTTTAATTTAAGGGAGAGACACAAAAAACGAGATAAAATTTGGAAAAATACCCATTATGTAAAAACCAATAGGAATAGAAAAATAAAACTAGACCTATCAAAAAGCAAACATCATTTTCTATAGCATAGGGTGTTTCTTACATTGATTTAAAATTATTTGTAATTTTAATTTAAGGGAGAGACACAAAAAGCGAAATTTTTTTTTGAGTCTCTCCCTTAAATTAAAATTACAATTAATTTTAAATCAATGTTAGAAATAACCTATACTATAGAAAATGATATTTTCTTTTTGATAGGTCTAGATTTAATTTTCTATCCCTAGTGGTTTTTACAAAATGGGTATTTTTCCAAATTTTTACACAAAAAAAGAGATAAAATTTGGAAAAATGTCCATTATGTAAAAACCAATAGGGATAGAAAATTAAAACTATACCTATCAAAAAGAAAACAACTTTTTCTAAAGTATAGGGTATTTCTAACATCGATTTAAAATTAATTGTAATTTTAATTTTAGGGAGAGGCACAAAAAATGAGATAAAATTTGGAAAAATACCCTTTATGTAAAAACCAATAGGGGTAGAAAATTAAAACTAGACCTATCAAAAAGAAAACATCATTGTCTATAATAAATAGTATTTCTTACATTGATTTAATATTAATTTTAATTTTAATTCAAGGGAGAGACCCAAAAAGTGAGATAAAATTTGGAAAAATACCCATTATATAAAAACCAATAGGGATAGCAAATTAAAACTAGACCTATCAAAAAGCAAACCTTATTTTCTATAGTATAGGGTGTTTCTTACATCGATTTAAAATTAATTGTAATTTTAATTTAAGGGAGAGACATAAAAAACGAGATAAAATTTGGAAAAATACCCATTATGTAAAAACCAATAGGGCTAGAAAATTAAAACTAGACCTATCAAAAAAAAACATCATTGTCTATAGTATAGGGTATTTTTAACATTGATTTAAAATAATTTTAATTTTAATTTAAGGGAGAGACACAAAAAATGAGATAAAATTTATAAAAATACCCATTATGTAAAAACCAATCGGGATAGCAAATTAAAACTAGACCTATCAAAAAGCAGACATCATTTTCTATAGTATAGGGTATTTCTAAAATCGATTTAAAATTATTTGTAATTTTAAATTAAGGGAGAGCAAAAAGTGAAATTTTTTTTGAGTCTCTCCCTTAAATTAAAATTACAATTAATTTTAAATCAATGTTAGAAATACCCTATACTATAGAAAATGACGTTTTATTTTTGATAGGTCTAGTTTTAATTTTCTATACCTATTGGTTTTTACATAATGGGAATTTCTCCAAATTTTTACACAAAAAACGAGATAAAATTTGGAAAAATACCCATTATGTAAAAACCAATAGGGATAGAAAATTATAACTATACCTATCAAAAAGAAAACATCTTTGTCTATAGTATAGGGTATTTCTAACATCAATTTAAAATTAATTGTAATTTTAATTTAAGGGAGAGACAAAAAAAGCGAATTTTTTTTTTTAGTCTCTCCCTTAAATTAAAATTACAATTAATTTTAAATCAATGTTAGAAATACCCTATACTATAGAAAATGATGTTTTCTTTTTGATAGGTCTAGTTTTAGTTTTCTATCCCTATTGGTTTTTACATAATGGTTATTTTTCCATTATAAACATTTGGTATTTAATGTCATATTTGGGTACTGTGAGATGGACACGCTCCAGGATGCATTTTCCAATTAATTATACCACCATAAAATATTTAAAACAGTTCAGTTCTAAGGACATCCGATGTATATCCTTTTGAATTCTTCAACTGTTTATATCTGATGGTAAATCGGCTATTTATTTGATCAGGACACATGGAAGGGTTGGTATGAAATATATCTTATCATTACCCAATTTATATAAATGTATACTCTATTAAAGTAAGTATAAATGTCTTTAAATATGACAGGGGATGTAATGAAAGTATTGCTTTATGCAATTCAAGAACGCCACCGAAGGACGATATAGGATATATCAAATTTTGTAATATTATAACAAAAAATTGTTTAAAGACACATACGACGTTTTGTCAGTAATGTTTCGATGTTCAAAAAAATCTAATTAAGAATCCTGTGGTTGACAGACTTCGTGTTTTTCTCATTTCTTCTTATTTAAGCAATTTTTTAAACCTAATTTTCTTTATAAAAGTTTTGATAATTGTGTATAAAGTACCAACCCAAATATTTAAATTTTACAGCCAACTCCAATTATGATTTTTTTTACTAATATATCAACCAGTGAGCCTTCCACCCTCCATCACCTTACAATTACAGATAGTACCACGAACTTCTAAAAAAATTATAAGATATTTTTTTATACACGCAAACAGCATGAAGTACCAAATCGTGGTCAAGAAATACCTTTTTTTATCAACATCGTGATGAATTCTCTGAACTCAGTGCTTCACACTAATTGCGCTTACGATCCAAACCAATTTTTTTTCCACCAAGTGGGCCTTCAACTTGAAAACAACTTTTCCTTTCCGGGGGGGAACTACGAAATACGAAGCAGGTACGTTAGTTTAAGTGATCTTGAATTATTTATTCACCGAATAAGATTCTCAAGAAATTCGCACAATAGATTTTTTTTCAGCATCAGACAAGTGATGATTACATAAATTATGACCTTTAATTAGAAAAAAAAACCAGCGGTTTTCATATAAATTGATTAGGTGCACCGATACAGAAGCATTAGCAGAA